AAACCCAGCAGTATGGTGGGTCTAAAAGCAATAGAAAATAGGCCGTGGATCTGAAGTGAAGTGGCTACACTAGCAGATGGGGCAGCAGGGGCCACGTGCTCCATCACAGAGTCACTGGTCACATTTGCCCAGAGACATCCACCACTCCACGGCTGAGGAGGGGCAAGAGCTGCCTGTGAAAGACTTGGTCTGCCCCCACGTTGCCTCCCACTGAGGCAGCTCCTCAAGCAGATTTGACCAAAAGGGCCTTTTTTTTCCCTTGTGAAAGCAAAGCAAGCAGGACATTTGAAGGCCAAGAAGCAAGTTTTTGTGTTTATTTTGAGCTTCCTCTCATTGTTTTTTTGTTTCTATGAGATCGCAAGTGCTGCAGTATTTTGGCTTGAGTTTGAATAATGTACCAGATGAGACACAATGATAAGAAGAGAATGTACTAGTCCTACAAGAGAAGGACAGATAATGTAAGATTTCCATATTATCCTATTTTATATGGCATAGAACAGGGCAGAGTTATTGTCTTCCTGTTAAACACTGGACTGATACTTGTCTTTTTTTATTATTGTTTATTTGTAAAAATCCCTTAATCTTCCAACTCCACCAGTTCATAGAACAGTTTGTCTGGATAGTTTCAGTTATGTTCTTGCTTCTCTCATCCAAGCTATTTATCTTTGAAAGGAAAACTACAGAAACAGTCAGGTCTCTACCTCCCCTCCTGTGTCATCCTGCAGCAGGGGAAATGCAAAGCTCAGATAGACAAACAAGCACATTGCAGGTTCTGAACATTCAGGAATAAAGCAGCAGTTGGTTAGCTTGCTCCTTAAGAACACAGGATTAGGATACCACTCATTACATGCAAGACAACAGGTTAGCATGGGGCAGTAAATTACAGCTAGTTAGCCAGTAGGTGCACATAGATGCACATGGACCTGCATATGGCTTGTGATCAGTGTTAGCAGGAGAATCTGTGGTCATCCCACAAACTTATTTGCATGTGCATACCCTGAGAATTTATTTTTCTCATTTATTGAATGAAAGCAACAATGTTCTCCCCTTCTAGGCATCGTCTGGGCAAATCCAGGCAGAATTTATCTTCTACCAGGTGTATGTGCCCTTGGCACCCAGGGCAGTTCCTGTTGGGCCCACTGGCCAAGCTGGAACATTACAGCTTCCTCATTCCTTCGTAAGCAGAATGATTACACATGAAATGGCATGAGTGAACGCTGAATACACAGGAAGGTGTCCTTTCACGGGAGAGATGCTGAAGAATTAGCCAATGGACTCTTGGAGCCCTGAACTTTGAACAGGATCTCCTGTCTGTGAGGCACACTGAACGCTTTTGCCCTTTATGCTATCTATTTAAACACAGACTATGAAGCCCATTATCTGTCGGATTCCTCATTCACAAGGCAATGTGCTTACAGGGCAGCAGAACGCACACGTGGCCTCTCCTGTTGATCTTTTGTGCCCAGGGGTTGTGTGGTTTTAGGCTTTGTGCTGCCAGCTGAATTGGAGCTCAGAGAGGAGGATGATGTCAACGTGCCCACAGGGACGCTGGCCGTCAGGCTGCCTTTGCGTCTCTGTGGCAAGTATTTTCTGCTGGGGGAAATAAACACCAAAGCAAGTAGCTTTCACAGGAGGAGGGAAAAGAGAATACCTAGGAAAGATACCTAGGAAAGACTAACGTTTTTATAGCATACCAAATACACTCAGCTGAAAGAAAGAGACTCAACATATAAAACTGTACTGACTTCCATCAAAGTGGGAAAAAAGCAAATAATGAGCAACAACCAAAAAAGAGCCATGAAAATGTATCAATATTGAAGTTACTTGTAATGCATTTAATTCAGCTATATTTCTCATCCTATATCTGTATTAGAAGGTATTTCATAACATAAACAATGCAGGATGTTAGTCTCAATATGGCCAGAAAGATGCACATAGACTAGGCACAATTTGGCCAAGTGACTAATCCAGAAAAAAAGCATAATTTTGGGGAGTTTTTTAACTGGTGACTGCTCTTGTGCGAGGGATGATTTCACTTGTGGCCTAAGGGTTGGACCTGGTTTCAAAACTAGCATGAAGACACTGGCTGTTATTGCAAGTCTGGGCCAACACCCCCTGAAAGCACAGTGGGGTTCCAGTA